TTTTCTCCTGAACAATTTCTTTCCTTCTCCTATCCACTACAAACACAGATTATCTACCAACACACCTCCCAGTCACACTGGTCATGTTTTAACCTGCCATTACCTGCTCTGGGAGCACTGACAATGTAAACATTCAGGACAAGGTTGATGCCTGTGAAAGGGGACACTGACACAATGTCTATCAGGAAAACCCTTGAGCCCATCCTTCTGCCTGCCACAGCAGATTTACCCCTGGCCTGCCATTCCAAGTGGGCTGTGGGTCGAAAGCGAGAGCCCGCCAGGGAATCCAGAGCTCTCGTGAAGGTGATGGCAGCTGGGCAGGGCTGAGGGCTCTGGTTTGTGCTTTGTAAGCAGCCTGTGTCAGTACCACCTCCTTCTAAAACGTGTGGGTTCTAACAGTTTCAGATGTCACAGCCCATCAGATGAATAAGCAGAGCACAGAGGCCAGAAAGCGGCATTCCACACCTGGGAGAAAGCCGGATAACCACCCACAGCAAGGGTTCTCCCACTTCACAGAGTACAGCGTGATGGAAGCTGAGCTTCTGTGCTTAGCAGTAATGAAAGCTGATGTCAAACAGAGACGGAACAATTCAGATCTTAGACTTGTGTCTGCTAGATGTTAAAGCCATGGAAATCTGTACATTTTTGGAGATTGGAGACACAGTATTGCCCGTGAAGCTGTTCATGCTGCCTGGGCATGTACAAGAGTATGTACATTTGGAGAGGGATGATAAACATGCTGAAATCTTGAATCAAATTCCCACAGTTTTTAGGGTTTAAGTGATCCAAACCTTATGCTCAATGTTTCTAATGGGCTTCTGCCATTCAGAAAAAGTAAATAAATGCAGTTTGGTTCTCCCAGAGGCCAGAAGGCATTTTTGAAGTACTGTGCAGCTCGCAGATGAACTTCAGGCTCCAAAACTGCAAAAATTTTTGGGTACCCAAATGCAATTATGTGAAGCAAGTGTAAGGAAAGCATGAAAGACATAAAAGAACCTGTCTTGATCTCCTTGCTGGGAGGTGGAAACAAGACCTTGACCAGATGCAGAGCTGACCCTCTGGTGGTGGGTGGTGTCCCCCATGCCAACAGTGGCGCAGCTTTAGCAGTGGTTCACTGTGCACAGCAGAGTCATGCAACTGGCTCTCACAGGAGGGGACAGTAAGTTCCATATGTCTTTCTCTTTCTTTGGCTATTTGAGAGGCAATACTGATGGTGAGCTATTGTCTCAACCTTTCAAACACTTCCTGTGTTTATAAAGTATTTTGGCAGGATTTCATTTGCTGCCTAACTTGAGAACTTCATAAACCTGCTGGTGTGTGTGTGGACAACACAAGATTAAATGTAAGCCCCCATCCTTACACCAACAATGTCTGTTTGCTCTGCTGCACTGACCCAGGCTGCATTTCTTCTCCTGCTCCTCCAGCCCAGGCTGTTCCCCACAGAGCAGCAGGACAAACCTCCCTTTCCCTACAGTATTTGAGCAGGAGGAGAGACGGGGCAGCTCAGCTGTGAGTCTGCCTAGAGAGCTGCTTATGGGGTCTGTGGTGAGTCCCAGTCAGTGCCAGTGTAGTGATGGAGGTGCTCTGCCCCTTAAGAAGTCCTGTGCTGTGTTTTTTACTGCTGTGTTACTTGGAACTGTAAGGTGCCAAGCAGCAGGGTTATGAGAATAAGCAGCAGCTTCCACAGAGGCAGCAGTGAGTGATTACTGGGAGCACGGTGTAGGAAATGCAAAACAAACACACGGTAGGTTTGGGAGGCTTCTTCACATACCTTGGCTGGCTGATAACAGTGGAGCCCAGCAAACAGCACATTAACAGTTCCATGATGTAGGAAAACAGTGGTGCAGGCTGGTGACAGCAGGGAGCACACCAAGACCAAGCAGCCTCTCTATTTTTCTCCTGTAATTTCCCCCTCCTCTACCACTCGTTTCACTCACTGTCATCAGCAGGACCACGATGAGGAGTGCATTGAAAACGCCACCCAGAAGGTTCAGAAGTCAGCATATCAAAGGGAAAGGAGGTTCTCCTCCCACCCCAGGTCCCTCCAGCTCAGAATGTTACAGCTATCCAAGTAAAAAAGGCAGTGAAATCTGAGGCGTGGAGACTGTGTGCACACATCAAACCCCATCATTCCTCCAATCATTCCCTTGCCCATTCATCACTAGCTATACAGGCAGGGAGCCAGACACGGTGGCACCACCACTTCTGCTTATATAGGCTCTAAATCAGTAAAGACATATTTCTCCTTTTGACTGGTCTCAGCCTGTGCTTTCGCTGGGATTTCCAGGAATATCTTTTATTGTTTAAAGCAGAGGTGTTATATCAGACCCAATTATGACTTTCATTTCCTTAATAAGACAGCTGGCACAAGGATTTAATGGTTTCTCTGGGATATTTTATCCTGCTAGTTCTGTACCAAGATGAGCTCAAAACTTAGGCTTAGCTGCTGTTTCTTCCATCTTACTTAACAAGTCTTGCTTTGACCAGTGTTAATTTTTCTAGCTCTCATTTTCATGCATGCGGTCCTCCTTTCTTTCCAGCAGGGAGAGGAGAAGGATAGGGTGTGGCATAAATCTTGCCTTGCAGCACATGCCAGGCCTGGAAAAGCACTTAGAGAACACAAGTCACTTGCTTCTGTAGCTGTTACCTTGGTGCATAGGTCAATTTTGAGTTCAGCAGCCTCTGACCTGCAGCTGCATGCTCTCCCTAGACTTTGTTTCCCATGAGGAATCACCTCAGATGTGAGTTCATCAGAAGCCAAATTTCTGTTTGCTTTTTACATGCTGAGGAGCATGCGTATCTTTCATGGAACCCTGAAGGCCAGAAGGCTATTCCAAGAAGCTTGTTTTTAAATTCACCTCTCTTTCTCTGAACTTATAGTTTATGTTAAATTTGATACACAATTCTAACATTACTCAGACAGCCAGAGCGTAATCTAAATGCTTCCAGTAGAAACAATGATCACAGCCACAGTGCTGGGTACTGGCAGTAGCATGTATTTGTAGACAATATTCTTACCTATTTGCAGTGAAGGCCTGTGGTTCAAACTATGGCTTTTTTTTTATTGGGGTTTCATACTAGGATACAGCAGCAACAAATTAAAACAGGTGTGGCACTGAGAATGACATAGTAAGCTAAAGCTTTAATAAAGGTGGTGACTTCAGCCCCATTCAGCCACATTTATTCAATCAGTTCCTGAAATGCATTTTTACAAAGCACTCCCAGGATGCTGGTAGTGTGGGAGCTTGTTTTAAAAAAAAAAAAAAAAAATCTTTTGAGTATGTTGAGTGACCACATCACCTTTTGTCTGTAATGCTAAAACAGTCAACTTTGCAACACAGAACAGCTAGAACCCTGCTGTAGCTCTCTGAAATTTTTCTTTTAAAAAATATTCTTTCTGACACCATGGTTCCCAACCTATACTTTATTTTCCTATGTCCTATATACACACAGGACAAACCCAACATTGACCCAAACAACTTCTGCCACTACCATAAGCTTGGTTCATTGCTTTCTTTGTAAGTAGCAGATAGCATTGCCAAGTAACTAAAATCCTAATAGATGGATGTCTAGTGTTAGACTCTGATTCAGTATTTTTAAGTAGTCCTAATGTAAAATAAACTCAGCCAGTAGCAAGAAGAAATCATGGCAGTGTTTTCCAAACCGATATTTAACGAAAGACTAAGTAAGTGTGAACAAATATTGACTGCTTTTTGGATCTTCTCTCTCAGTCCAAAGAACTTTTTAAAATTAAATAAACCAACAAAGTAGTACATAACTCTTCTGTTGGAAGTCAGAATTTTATGAGGTTTCGCTGCCTTAATGCCTTGCTAGTAAACAGTGAAGTATTTACATACTGCTCTCCAAAGGCCTGACTCTGCAGCCCATCTGTGCAGACTTTCACAAGCCCGAAGGGAACGGCCTACATGAGTGAAGGCTTTCTCTGAGCATGCATTCGTGTAAGTCTCTGCTGATGGTGGAATTAAGAGTGCATCTGTGCACCGATCTGGATCTTCAACACAGAACACCACGATTATAAATTCTTCTGCAACCCTGAACTGACTCGTTGATGACTACCACAATTCCCCCGATGCCAAGAGTTTATTATGGATGAGTTTACACTTACTTAGGAATACACTTCTGTAAAATTTATTCTGAACATCCAGACAAAGACAGTTTTACCAGTTTTCAGAGAGTGATGTTTAAACAAACAAAAATGTTAAAACCTTGCTTCAGCATCTAATACGTTAATACATGCCCATTTGCGTTCAAATATTCTTTTTTAATTTTGTGAGATCTTACCCTACATTATTTCTTCAGCTACATTGTTCACATAAAAAATACACTTTAGTCAGTCATTATTGTGCTAGTGCTGGATGATCAGGTCTTGCAAATAAGAAAAACTTACAGACTTGTGTCAGCTTGAACTGACCAATTTGTGTGTGGAGTTATGAATGAGAGTAATGCATGTTACAGGGACTGGAGAGAGGATTCCATTTTATTATCAGGCTAAAAAAATACACAGCAGTAGTCATCCACTGCTGTGTCCAGCCTAGGTCTTTGAGATGATCTCTGATAGCTCAGCAAGTCCGTGTTAGGACAGCATCAGGTGACTCTAATGCATCTTGTGTTTGTTGCATGTGTGCCACAAAAATAACAGCAAGCATCAGTACCATTCCACACACATCCTACAGGAATAGAGAAATACTGTTTAATGTCATTTATCTCTAATCACATACCTTTAGATAGGGGTGCTTCAGTCTGTGCTCTATTTTTCTCTAAGGCACAAGGACCAACAGCGGAAAAGATCAGCTTAGGACTGGATTTTGTTCCCTTACCTCGATTCTTCAGTGGTGGCAGTGTAGGATGAAGGTATCTGTTACAGTAATCTTGGCCTGTGCAACATCCAATAGATCTTCTTTGGTGTGGAATAGGAGTGTCCTGCAACAAGCAATTTAGACAGAAAGCAAGTCATTACCCGTGTTGTAAATAGACACTATCATTCTGGCACTTGAAAGATGTGCTTGCTAGCTGGACTGCAATCTGCTACAGATTCCTAGAATGTGTGGAGTAAGGATTTCTGCCAACTGGCGTATCCAGCAATATTTCATCCAGGTAATTAAGACATTAATTCACTACAAACTTACTCCTCTTGGTGCCTTAATGCTGCAGAAGGGACTGACTTTCTCTAATGGCGCAAGTCACAAGTGTGAAAATCACATACATCCATCAGTTAGACCAAAAATGAGTTAATATGGGTATCCAAAACAAATTAGCCAGGATAATACAGGAATTGCTGCATGGACTAACTTAGCTGCAGCTTCTGGTCTCGTGGGAAGCTGGATAAAATACCCTCCATTAGCCATAATGATTAAACAATTCCTGTACTCATCTAAAACTAGGTTGACATGAGGAAAGGCAACCATCTCAGAACCACCCTGCTCCGTTTTCCATGCCCCTTCCATTCCTGCAGTGATACTTGTTTTCCATCAGGTGATCACTGTATTTTAAGGGAATATCTGGCAGCAAAAATCCCAAACCAATGTGCAACTGCATGTCAGATGTAGATGTTACTGCAGTCCATGACATAATATCCTGACTAACTTTAACTAGCATGGAGATTTGCAATGTTAAGACTGCAATTCTCTAAATCCAAACTTCCTCTGACTGGGAATGTTATAAGTAGCAGCAGTGCCAAAACCAAAAACATGAGTTATTATTAGGAGGATCTATAGTACCATCTTTTGGGGATATAAATGCACTCCCCTAGTAAGCAACTATCTGCCAAAGGAAAAGAAGTGGAAAACATGGACACAGCGATGTCTGTTGACTGCACTTTAGTTGAAAACTATCAAAAATTCAGGTGACACTGTGGCAGAAAATGCTTCCTCACCCGACACTGGAAGTCTGAGCCCTCTAATCCAAGACATCCCTTGGTGACTAAATGTCCACCAGACTCATCCTCTTCTATTATGGTGAAGCAGTAGCCATCGGTGCTGCGGATTGGAAAGAATGAATCAGGAAAACACACTGAAATGTGAAAAGTGGAAAATGTGATCTTGAGTATTGTCCTAAACTTTGCTCCTTGCCAGGCAAATCTGCCATTCACAAATGGACACGCTGGGGGCTGCTGCAGACCAGCTCCTGCACACACAAAGGAGGCTCTGCCTCAGAGCTGTGCACTTACCTTTGCAACATTTCACAGCCTAAACCCCACTAACAAGCACCCCAGTTCTCTGCCTGTGGTCATTACTGTGGTGAGACTTTGGAAACCTATACAAAATGCTATACCTATACCTATACTTCAGTGCTACACAAGGTCTGCCCTGAGTGCAGGAACAAGGCACGGATACTTGCACCATGGTACAGACCCGAAGAAAGAAACACTTCTGAGATACTAAACGTAAAATATTACCAAGAGTGATTTGTGATTCCTGTTTCAACCATACTATGAACTGCAACACTCCTGTGTAAGAGTCCTTGAGTTATCATCAACACCCTTCACAGATGTTTACTTGGGTTATAAGCCTGAAGCGATCCATAATGCTTCCGTTTACAGGAACGTGCACCAGGGAGGGCAAATATGCTAACAGATGGCTAGATGGTGCTGGTGATAAATGTCCTTCCTCCATGAGGGTCAAATGCCTGAATGCTATGGAAAGAGGGAGTGGAGGGCATGGAAAGGGTGGCTGCATTTTATTGAAACTGCTGTACCTTAAGTTCTCAGCACTCTGACAGGGATATGTAACATGTAAGAAATAAAAACTGACTGATTTGCAGGAAGAAGATCCAAACAAAAAAGAAAAAAACTCTTTAAGACATTTAAGTCACAGAAAAATAAAATATTCTGCTATTTGCTTAGGAAAATAACACTGGCTATTATGTGCAATTAGTATTTTTCAGAAGAGAAGAAACAAACTCAGTTAAAACAAGGAAATAAAAAGAAAAAAGGATTAGAAAACTTAAATACAGCAAAATTTCAGATGATTTGCTCCTTACTTGAATAAAACAAGAGTCTAAAGAGCACCAGCAGCAAAGGCAATGAAGATGCAGGAAACAAGAGCCACAGTTACACATTTAAGATACAAACACAATTTGTAAGTATTAGCTACACAACCGAGAGCTGCTGCAGAGGATCATGTCAAACATTTTCTGTGGCATATTTTTATATTAGTGGGGCAGGGCCTAGCCACGGTAAGCTTATTACTTCAAATAATAATCTATCACGGGTTACTGACTTCTGGATCTGAAAAGTAACCAATTGCACATTACAAATTACTTTCTCAGGGAAGCCAGCAATGACTTCTACCCTTCTTTGGCATTGTACATAGGCGTGAGGCAAAGGAGACAGTAACCCTTCTGGGCAACAACCACCTTGATGTCATTGCTTGAGCTTAAAAGATAGGAACAATAGGCTTGCCAAGAGAGACTGTAAGGAATCCATTAGAGCAGAATATTATATTAGATTATATTTTATTTGTTTGCATGGTGCCTTTGATTCAAAATAATGAGTAAGTTCAACCCAGGGGACAGAGCAACAAAACAATAAATTGCTATCAAGTGAAACACAAAAATGGACTCCAGAGCTAACAGGCCCAAGAAAAAAAAAGCAAAAAAACCTAAAACTCTTGGTTCATCAAAGAAAAGCAGGAGAAGGAAAAGTCAAATTGTTTCCAAAAGGGAGAAAAATAAACAGGAAGTCAGCCATTTTAATTCTATTTTTCTGACTTGTCATATGGGACTCTAATTCTTAGCTCACTTATGAAAATTAAAGTCGGGCTCCTCGTGCACTTTAGTCCCTCTAAAAATTGTACTCCAAATTTAAAAAGAAAAAATTAGATTGGGTAGAGCAAACCTAAGAAGTTATAAAGTCTAAACAATACTCTTTACAGATGTTAGAACAATGAAGGAAAAGTGAGAGAAAAAAATAGCATTGTGAGCAGAATAAACACTGTTGCTGCTTGTTTCTACCTCTAAAAAAAAAAAAAAAAAGGAAAACCAAACCAAACAACAAAAAGCTTTCATCTTTCATGCAATGTAAGAACTCATTATCTTTTCGAGAATTTCTGACCTGCTTAGGTGAGATGGAGAAGGGACTCTTCTGAAAAGAAAGATCTCCTACCTGTTTCCCCTGCTCTAACCCCTGACCTGTGCTCCTGGTTTCACAGGATGTCAGATGGACCACACACTGCAAGAATAAGGGCAGGGCACACCCTGCTGTTTTATTGATTACCCCACCAGACTGGGGAAGAAATGGAACTTACTAATATAGCCAGTAAGAAACAAGTCAGAGATGTGTGCACAGCCTCAAATTTTATGCTTATTTTGGTGACAGAAACATTTGTACATCAGTGATACTTGCAAAGCAGTATGAAAAACCTATTCTCCACTTCCCATTAAAAAAAAAAAAGTAGTATAGAACTGTTATTTTCTTAGAATGTGCAATGTGAATTCTAATTTTGTGTCACTTGACTCTGCAAATGGTGTGTAAAGAAGGAATTGAATGTGCATACAACTGGATACATCTGGGTACATATCCAGTAACCTCTTCCACTGAAGCACCATCGTATTAGAGTATGGTGCAGGGGAGTAATTAAATTCACTTTGGATGTGATCACTTTGCATCTGTGCATATGCACAGATTTGCTGTGTCATATATTTGCCAAGACTGAATTCTTACAGCCAAGTCAAATGCCAGGAAAATAAAGGGAGCTAATAGTGAAACATTGACAGACACTGATAGAGAGGGTGCTGCTACAATTCCAGACTGCCACAAAGAAAGCAGGGATCTTAACTCGGACCTTTCCTAAATGTCACAAGTGAGCCAACAGCTTTGCATCTGCTCACACAGATGTCCCCACTGGCCAGCAGCCATTTCACACAGAAGATGTGATTCCTCAGCTACCAAAACCTGCCTGCTGGAGATTTCCCACCCAGCTCTGTGAGTGTGTGATACAGAAAAGCAACATCTTTCCCTCATTCAATGCCTATCACAAAGAGACAGGTAACTTTCATAATTTGATGAAAAGATCCCTTATCTTTAATTTGATTTCAAATGAGTCCATGCAAGTATTATTACTTTTTTTCCACTCTTCCTCTTTATATTCCTCATTTTGATACCAGAAAGAGCAAGAACATTTTTTCACTTCTATCCAAAGCAGCATGACAAGTCTCTGCACTCTTTTAAAAATAATTTAAAAACTTCCTGGATAAAGGAGGAAAATTTCAAAATAAACATAAACATTAAAAAATTGAAAGGCTAACATTTAACATCTCACCATAGCTCCTTTATCTGAAAATGTTCAGCTTTTCCCTAAAAATTAAAGTTGATTAAAACAAAACTTGTCTGAACTCAGTGCTTGGGCCACTGTCAAAGGCTTTTTTCTTCTACATACCAAATTACAAAGAAAATTTAGTCATATCATCTGGAGAACACGTGAATGAAAATAACATTACTCAAGTGAGTTATCACCTTTGGTAACACTGAAAAAGCAACCTAATTATTTTATTGCTTGAGATAACCAAAGACACAGTTGGGCAGAAATACAATCTAGTAGGCAACACATAGGAACTTAAACTTTATCAGCCCAATCTTTAAAACTGTCAGCATTTATTTGTGCCTGAAAATAGAGTGTGACAAGGCACCTAATTAGCCTCTGCCTTTACTGCAATCCCATTACAGTCAAAGCCAATTAATCGTAACAACGTGTTTTAAAATATGCAATTAATTATGATAAGACACAACTGTCCGTGCATTCACTTTGAACACAGAAAACCTAAATGGAACAGTAAAACAAGGTCCTGGCTGTGTTCAAAGCAGCTTTGACCTTCTTTACTGAAAGCCTTTTATGAATGGCACAGATGTTCAGAAAGAAGAATGAAGTTTCAACATGCAGCAGTTTAATACACCCTTTAATACACAGAGGATTGTGAGCCTTCTCCAAAGGTTTCATCTCTCGGGGTCTCGAGTGCAATAGTATTTTTCAACTGCCCATAGTGGCCCCACTTGTGAACCCTCTTTTCCCCTACCCAGAAACCCTAAGCAGTGGTACAGGAGTGCCTGTCTCCAGCCATGGGAAGGGCTATTGAAGGAACTGTCTCTGCCCATTGTGTTCACATATCCATGGGGAAATGGGGTCCTGATGAGTGAGGATATCAGCCTCAGCTCCTGGCTTGGTCCCCTTTTGAGGGACCTTGGCATTAACCCTCCCTTGATGAGCTCACCCTGCAGTGGGTCTTCCAAAACTTCACTGTGCTCATGGACTGCCCCATTTTTTAGGCTTTTCTGCTCAGATAGAAAAGCATTCTGCCTTTTAGGCTCCAGTGTTATCCTTAGCTCTCTAAAGAATTGTTAGACTTAAACTGCAGAAGTATAAAGGAAGTAAAATTCTGTATAGGAGCACAGCAGGCTGTTGGAGGATTTGATATAGATGTGGTTAAAGAATATTGGCTTTAAAATTTCTACAAATACAATTAAGAGAGAGGATTTTAAATGGCCACCAGATGTCCTCATTTTTACATAAAGATTCAGACCCCTGGTACTATGGGCTGGATATATACTTTAAAGCTGAATACCTGTGGTAGCAGATAAAAATCTTCATGCGAGATGACAGACTGTTTTTAGGAGAAAATTTTAATGGTGATTGCAATAAGACTAGCTATTCTATTCTGAGATTTTTAATTTAAACACAGCTGGAAATGCTTTTGCATTGAACTTTCAGAGGTTCTTGCTCCTAGGCTCATAAAATGCTTCACTGCTTTAGCAAGAACCCTGGTAAGGGCAGTGGCTGATGCTCTCCAGAGCCCAACTCCTGGCTGTGGATGTATTCAGTGAATTTCCTGGGTTTCAGAGCTTTTCCAGGCCCTTGGGTGCCCCAGACTGGCAGGTCCAAACTCTGAAGGTCCAAGCACAGCCCAGAGCTTAACAGATTGACAGAGCTGATAAGAGGTTTGATTTTTAAAGTTTTCTTAAAATATATAAAATGCAAAAGGCTTTTAGTGGCTACATATGCGGCAAGCAGATGATAAATGCAATAGCTTTTAATCTGAAGGATTCCATTTATTCTTCAGACAAACACTGACATTGACATTTCTTGACGTTCAAAATAGGGAAAGTTTCTTTAGAGTGATGCTCAGTGATTGTCTGAGTGCTTTAAAATTGTGCCAAGAGTCATTCATACAGGATAAAATACAAAAGTTACTGCCTGACTAGGAGGATGATCCCAAAACTCAGGGGAAACTTATAATCCTTGCTAACCTGGTTGGTTGTACTCAAATCTTTTGAAACTTTGTCTCTATCCAGCCAACTAACCAGATACCTAACAATCAGCTAACCAGACACCTAATAACCACTCTTTCCCAACAGAAGGCTCAGGATCTTATTTTCTGTGTCATCCATAATTCCAGATATGTAGTAGGGAATTTTAGAAAGCAATTATTACATTATTACACTAACAGTTAAACATATGCAGGGAAAACAAGGGGTGTCAAGTCCTTCACACCTCACTGCAACTCTCACACCAAGGCAGTGGCAGCCATAGCAATGATCACTATCATGAACATGATTACTGCTGAGAAGCCATTAAGGCAGTGCATTTAAATTAATTTAATTTGTTTTATATTACTCCAAACTACTCAGCAATTTTTCACTTATGCTGTTGCTCACTGGCCAAGTGGCAAGGTGGGTACTGCTCAGAGGACAGCACACGGCAGGAGAGAGGAGCTGACCTAAAGCTAGTCTCCTGACTGTTCCAGGAAACTCCTGACTGGGCAGAAAAGTGATTAATATTTGATGGATAAATTCCAGCTTCAATTATTATTTTGATGTCTAAATTGGAAAAAATCATTCTGGCAATAAAGCAGAATATTCAAGCCTGAAGCCTTTAAGGATTATGAAGACAAAAAGGGTTACAATTTTGTGTTTTGTGACCACTTAACTGCCTATCCTTGGGCATTAACACCTAAAAAAAAGTTTGACATTTGACACTGTAAAAGAGACTATGAAGAGAGTTTCTTGAAAGTACTGCAGTAAGGGAAAATGCACAAATCCATTCTAACAGGACATTCACTCATAGTTCCATGAAAAATATTTCATGTCAATGATGCCTACAAAGAGACATGCAAAAGCAGGCCTACCCAGCTGGGGGATAAACCTTGCTCAGTCTGTTCCTCAGTATGGATCTCTTTGTGCTTCCTAATTCAAGGATTTAGAAGTCATCTGCAAATTCCCTATTGCTGTGTGTGTGAGACAGCACATAGGAAAGCTGTGGCTCTTGCTGGGCAGGAAGAGGAAACAGCTGATTCACACTGCAGGGGATCAGCAAATTGGTATCAGAGTGGGGTTTTATAGCTTTTTAAACTGACTGTCGTGTGAGAACAGTTAGGTCTAACTCCTGGCTGGAGCATGGGCTTGTAGGAAGAGGTTAGAAAGGGGAAATGGTATTTACAGCTGTCACCAAAACTTTGATAAGCTTTAGTAGGAAACTGCAGGCTGAGGAGAAGAAAGTCAGGCTGCAAACCCACACTGAAAAATCCAACAAAGCAATCAGTACTTTCAGCAACCTCCGGCTTTCCCCATTTCTCTTTTAAATACACTGCCTTGAAGAGCTGACACAATGTTAGACAATCTCACCTCAAACAGCACTGCATTTCACATCTGTGCCCTGCTTCGATGTGTCTCTGACTCCAACAGCTCCACCAGGCTATTGGCTGAGAGTTGGTGTCTCCAGTAACCCAGCTGCTCTAGCCAAGCACAAAAGTTTAAATTCCTCATATGGAACATGAAGAGCTCAGCCCAACTTTGCTGCAGCTAAAGCAAACTACCTGCACCTCGAGCCAAGACCGAGGTTCATTCAACCTTCACTCAGCCTTCGTTCAAGGGCAGTTTTATGTGTCCAGCAAGAGCTGCTTTTGGGTAGGGGAACAGCAGCTTGGTCTTTCCACAGGTACACTCAGTCACCTCTGCTTGCTTCAGCAGTGCAACACAGACCAGTGCTGAGCCTTCAAGGAGATTGTGCACATCTGGGCCTGCCTCTCCCCCAAGGAGCCAAAAGGTCCTGAGGAAGCAGAATCCAACCCAAAAGAGAAATCTGAAGTACTCTAAGCTCAAAATTAAGAAGAAGGCTAGAGTTAGTAGACAGAAATACTCAACACTTCACATCAATATAGTTTCCCTTTTAGCTTGCAAATAAAAAAATCCCCCAAATCCAAATCCTTAAGGACCTACAGATACAACTACTGCAGGCACAAACAAAGACCAGGGTTCTTATAAATAGTATTCTATTGAGAGTGATTATAAATTTATAATAATTTATTGACATTTCAATATATTTCCATTAGGTCTCGTCTCATTAACTGTATGCTCCTTTATAAACAAAGTTCAACCTTCAGAATATTCCATATTGCAATGCATTAAAAGAAGTATTATCTATAATGATAAATATCTGTATGCCCTAACAAAACAAGAAACAACAATCATGCAGCTGATATCTAGGTAAAAATTACTTCTGATTTTTAGACACAGTGAAAACTGACTCATTTACATATCACTGCTTAAACAAAAACTGTGACACCCAACTTGGGACTGCTGAGCTGCCACAAGTATGTTTTGCCATGTATCACGAATCAATCACCAACTATCTATCCCACAAACCTGCAGGTGTTGTTGACAGCGTCCTCAGGGCAGTGGTGGTGGCACTGGCAGGACAGCTTCTTCTGAGGAGGAGCAGGGGCCATACTCTCACCATCTTTCCTGGTCTCCATGCTCAGCTTGCCAGAACTTCGCAAGGCCATGTTGTTTAGAAAAGTGGCTGTAAGAGAGCAAGAAAAACAAACAGTTCTAGGCTGTATTGCAAGATTTGAAACAAAGGCTTTAAACTACTTCTACCTATAGAAATTTAAGGAAGTTATTTGAGATGAGCGTTCATCACAGAGTGTTCTTCTGGAGTTTGAAGCGGTCAACATGGTTGAGACTTATTGGACCTCGGTAGTATTAGATCAAAGGTACTGATGCTCGAGTTCTGCCACTGCCAAGAGATATATTGTGCTTTTATTATTATACATTGCACAGTACAGCTTTTCTTCTAGTGCATTACACAATGCATTACACAAGGTCAAATCCTTGTTTACACCTTTGCATTTTCTTTATCTCTAGAGAAGAGCTACATTCACTGAACGCCATAAAAATCAGAAGGATTTATGGTACTCCAGGCAGAACAGAACACGGGCACACGGTTTAACAAAGTCTTAACAGAAAGTGATGTTCTTTCAAATCCAACAGCATGTTCCGTCACCGAATTGCAAAAGCACTGCTTGGAAAACAAGGGGAAGAGCTCATTTCTGTAAAAGTAAAGTCTATAAACAAAGTAAAAAAAAGAATGTGTTTTCAGATGAACTTGCATTCATCTGTATGCTGAAACATATGGAGGTGATTTCTAAAAATATCAGAGTACTGAATCTCCATGGAGCTGGTGGAGTACAGCTGCAGATGTTGCTGATAGGCTAGGAGCTGTTTAAGCAACCTCCTTCCCCCAGCTATACTCATAAATATCATCTTTCGGTTCTTGTGAAAATTTTAAGTCTCAAAGACAAAAATGAGATTAGCGCGAAAAGCTTCAACTGGCAGTTCTTCACTCTCCCTTTGGTTCCCTGTAAGAAATCTTACCAAAGGGTCACTTACAAGCAGCTGTCTCCAACAGGGTAGCTGAAGAACAGGCTTGAATTTCTTGATTTGGTGTTAGGTCTTTAAAACAATTGGTATTAAAATTATTTTGATTGCCCTTTACTCTAAAATTTTCCCAAATCTCCATCATTAGGACTGATGTATTGTGGAGCTGATAAAAAACATCGTATCTTTTTTAGGTCCCTACAGAGAGATAGGGTGGCCAAATAGGCAGAGGGGACAGGGACAAGCAGCTACACTTCAGGGCTTGGATTGCAATCAAGTGAGGAGATGAGAGTGAGGCTGAACAACTCTGAAGCAGAGAAAGGCTGGAGGAAGCACAGGTCTGTTCTACCAGTCCTTGCCCTTAGGAGAATGAAAAAGCCCAGTCTGGACTCCTGGGAGCATGGGACCAGCCAGGGCACATCATGCTTCCAGCTGCATATCCTTCCTCTCCTGTGCCAGCTCTGGTAGCACAGGATAGTCTGGCAGACAGGCTTTAGTTTTCTGCAGTGTAACATGAGACAATGCAAGCTTATAAATAAAGTCAGAAAAAAAGCTGTAACTTGTTAGCTCTGGGAGAAGTGGGGTTTTGCAAGTAAGAGCACTGCATTTAGAGAAGTGCTAGCCTTTTTAACACCATAGCCCTTCCACTACTTGCACAAGAGGTATATGAATAATATTAGGGTGATACACATGAAAGAGACTCATTCACCATGCCAGACTAATACGCCTATGAAACACAAAATTCATACAGCTTGACCTTTGCTCAGTACCTCTATATGCCACTAGAACCAACTGGCTTCTGGATTAGCTCACCTCTTTCTACAGTCAAATCAGACAACCAGTTACAAAACATATACAAACCATGGGCTCGTAACCCTTGTGTCCAGCATGAAGATATAAACTGGATTCACAACACAACTGGCTGTCAGTCCCATACTGTTCTTGGCAAAATCTCATACTAACATTTGGCAAAATCAGAACTAAGTGCATGCGTCCACTCAAGATGCACTGTGTGTATGTGGTGTTGTGTACTTGCAGCTGTACCTTAAGATGAAGTAGATGCTTAAATTAATGCACTGTTGTTTGTTTCTCCTAATGTGATTAGGCAGCCTGTGCATAACAAACTAATATCCACAGATATTTACTCCCTGGGTCACAGGATTAGGGATTACCTAAATTCTCTTTCAAACCACCATTTTTTGCAGTATTACTTTGTTATTATTGGATGGGGAATGCTCAGATATTAATATTCCTGTCAAGGATTTTCAGTCTTCAAGCTCATGAGGCAACCAAGTGAACTGCTAGCTCATGAGTGTAATAGTTTACTCTGTACATCACCTCCACAGCTCTTTCTACAAGCTACCTGCACTTTTAGCAGGGATCTTTCCCCAACAAGGAGTGTAAAGACAAAAGCTTCTTACATCTGGCACATAAACTGGGGAAAGGTTTCATTACACATTTGATGGTGCCTGAATATGGGAAATTTAGGCAGCTGAATACCATCCTCATAATATATATAACTATAGATCATTCATTTTTCCAACAACCATATAAAACAATCATACCCCAACGCCATCTGTGGCCATCACTTGCCAGTGATGTGATCATGAACAGCTTCTGCAAAACTTGCCATAAACAACAGCTTCCACCCCTAGACCTGGTTGCACTCTCAGATATAATAAGATGGGCGGAAATTGCTACATTGGAATCAAAAAACTGATGTACCATCAAGGCATTGCAGGTGGCTATTTAGAGATGTAGCTTGGTTTTGGGAAAATTTAGGACAGATAGGCTGGCATTCAAATATACAGCTTCTAAGAGCTGAAATTAGCAATGCAACCTAGTATTTTGTTTCCACTTAATGCCCAGAAATAAAACTACTGCAAAAGCATTGCAGTTTAGCATCAAATATATTAAATCGAATAAAACTAAAATAGGCAGAAATAAGACACTTTCAATCAAGTTCTTTTCTGTCTTCTAAAATGTAAAGCTCTTCTCACTCTATTCTCTTGCTCCTTTCATGCTTTCATTTCCTGGCTGGTAGCTAAAATGATGGGCAGATCTTTTGCCTCTGAAATTCAGGTGTCTCACCCAGCAGATAACCATGGAGCATGTAAGAACTCTTCTCCCACTCGGAGCTGAGTTTCAACAAGGTTTCTTGACTTCTCTGTCTGCTTGACTTCAGCGCAGAAAGGTTTTCCAGCAGTTCCTTCCCCAGAAGGAAACGTATAGGAATGAACTCACAAGAGAAGTGGGGAGAACTTTCCAGCTTGGCAACAAGTTCCTCCTGATCACAGGTGTGGAAAGCACAGTTTGGGATAGTGAACAGCTTGTTCATCTTGCATTTGCTCCTGTTCTGTAACAAGACCATGCTGGCATGCTGACCTGGCTCTGTCTAGGGTTGAGAAGCCCTTTGGGTTTTGAAAGCTCTCCTAGAGCCCTGAAAGCAAGAGATTTCAGGCTATTTAAGCTTGGCTGCTTCTTTGTTGTAGCCTACTCTATTGCAGTCGGCTCATGGTCAGCTTCCCATTCCTGACACACTGAGCACAGCTTGGGAGAACTGCAGAAAAACAGTGGTATCAAAAATAAGGTTATTTTAGTCTGCCGAAAAACTTACTGACTCCATCAGGGAATTCATCAAAGCAGTTCATCACCTGAAGTTCAGCATCAGACTGGTATAGACTCATCAAGATCAGCTGAGTTTCTCAGCTTAACTCTCTTTTCCACTAAAATTCATCAGCATGTACAAAGCACCATTCACCACAAGGACGAAGTCAGCTGCCAGGGCTTTGATATCTCTTTGGAGTACTATTCCCGAGAGATATTTTCCTCTCTAGGACTGGGACCACTGAAAATTGTGATGTGATGGCCTCTGTTAGGAATCTCTACCTGAGAATGGGGACTGTGTGCAGCATGCCATTGCTTTGTTTTTTCCATGTCTTACTGTGTCTCTCCCTCTATGCTTTGGAGTCCTTTATAGAAAGGATCATCTACAAAGACCGTGAATCCAGGAGAAGGAAAACAATGAAAATAAAGTGCTGTAAAATGAAAGTAATTCTCACAGTCATACAGGATAATGTTAATGTCTAATTTAAACCCCTACTAACCTTCAGTGTCAACAAATAATCCTTCTTGGATACAGTCTTCCATCTATCAGCACTAAGATTTGCAACAAAATACTTTGCCATGTGGCAAACCCTTTCATGGCATTTCAGCGAGTTCTGCTGTGATTTTTAAAATTGTGTGAGAAGCATCATAGACCCCCACTCCACAATGACAATGAAGTAACCATAAGGATGAATTCTAACTTGCTTTTAAACAACGTTGTTGTTTGTTGGTTTGACAGATCTGCAGGCAGTGATACCTCGCACACAAAGGAAAATTACCTATTTAAGCTTAACACTGGCTCACATAGGTGCAGGAAAAAATCTGATCTCGAGAGCCAGTCTTTCAGTGTACATTCAGTCCTCAAACTCTCTGCCATGGCTGCCAATAAGTACTTCAGCCCCTGCCAACTGTAGCCATAGTTATGTGATTTGGACAGAATTTCTCCACTACAATCTGGATAAAGCCCAGTGACTCATTCCATACTGGCCCATAGCCATTGGATGATAATGACTTTTGGGCACTGCTCCGATTCAACAAGTCTGGTAATGTTGGAGGTGAAAAGCTCTTTATTCTGTTTCTCTGTATTCTGTGGTTTGAATTTTAAGCCATCCTGTTCCTGGAAAATGAAGAATTAGCAGTAGTTATCTTAACAGATTGATTTCTGTGCCATAGCTGTGAGATTTATGTGCTGTCTATGCAGTGAAAAAAGCAAATCTGTCATGATCTTGCAGGGATTCGTAAGGAGTAGAAGTCAGACTCGCTCCTTCCCCAAACAGATGCCAAGTACAAAAAAAAAAAAAAAAAAAAAAAAAAAAAAGGTTGAATATCATCCATTCACATTTTCCCAGTCTAATAACAACATCTGGTCACAGCACTCTCTGACTAGGAGCACGAGGAGCAAGGCTTAGTGCTTCAGGGAAGGCACACACCAAAGAAGCTCCCACACATCATAGAACAACTTGTTTCAACATACTTCATCTTCTCCTTTAAAATGGAAATTAAGGATATTCATACGAAAGTGTCTGAACCATAATT